CCTGCATGTCAGATAATCCTAAAATGGAATCGGGGGCTGAGAAGAACAGAGGGTGTCAAGTTGAACGAGCCCGGCAGCCTCTGTGTGGGATATTGTGGTCCACCTGCCACTGAGCTCCAGGGACAGAATTCTTTAACATCATTAATGAGTCAGCAGCAATAAATTAGTAATGAACCACTGTGTCTGGAAATGGTGAATTTATGGTGAATTGATGCCTATAACTTCAAAGGATTTTTGGTGTGGTTATGAGTTATGATTTTCACTACTCTTCAAGCCTCAGGGGAGTCCTTGTATGGAAAAAATTCAAAAGGAAGACTCCTTCAGAGATTAGCTGTTAACATAAATAAAGCTTTTAAAAAAATTCTTAGATTTACAATTTGATCATCTCTGTCGAATAAATTCTGGCTTAATATACCCCTGAGACATAGGGAACGACCACACGTCTCAAGATTCACACTCTGGCTTGTAATGACACGCAGCTTGACCTGTGAATGAAACTGGTGGTGAGTAAACAGGATATGGGTTGCAGCTGAGTGTAAGTTTCTGCAAAAGTGGAAAAAACAATTAACCTCTGTCACTCTGACACCACACTGATGGCAGCCAGGTGGACTCCCTGACCCTGGCAGGCAGACCGAGAACAGCCCAGTGAGCGAGTGTGTGTGTCCACTGCCTCTCTGCGAGGCTGTTTCCAGGCACTCACCCTCCTGAGGAATGATACGAAGGGTGACACTGAGACCTGCGTCCTTGATGAGCTTCACGATGTCAGCGTGAGGCATGTTGATGATGGACTGGCCGTTCACCGCTAAGATCCGGTCTCCCACTTTTAGTTTTGCACAGCGATCTGCAGGACTCCCTTCAATGATGCGTCCGATTTTATGGGGCACAGCTGAAAAAAAAATCCCACAGAAATAGGTATTAGGACATGACCAGGATGTGTTGTATCTTTCAGTTTCTGCACCACGGGAAACAATGCAATGTCAGAATTCCTTCCTTAGTGAGTGTATTCACCTTCTGAAATCACAACCATTTCTATCCAAGGGGATCCTGTAGACACTATTGAGACCAGAATTTCTAAATTGAAGTGATAGTTCAATTCTAAACACACAGGCCAAGGGTTCTCAAACTTTGGGGTGTGTTATAATTGACTTAGGATTAATAATGTAGCTATCTGGGTCCCATTTGGAACTGCCTGATTCAGGATGTCCAGGCAGAAGGTGAGGACCATGGGTCTTCTCCGGAGATTCCAATACTCACAATGTTTGAGAACCACAGACATAGAACTTTGTGCTCAAATAGCTCATGTTCTATAAATGCCAGGAACTTACTTTCATTGAATTGGTGAAATATGTTTTATGTCTCTTTAAAAGAATGAGCATTTATTTTCTCTTTATGAATTATTTAAATGTGTGAGGAGAGCCAGATACATGGGAATGTTGGCTTTCTTAGCAGGTTGACTTCCAGGCAGTGTAAACGTTTGAGTACCTACCAAGGTAACTCTGGGATCAAACATGAATAGTACACAGCCTCTGCGAGTTCTGCAAGGAGCTCACAGTCTAGAAACCTGTCTCCCTTCCTTTCTCCCTTCAGGACAGTGAGTCCCAGCCAGAAAATCACCTGTCGATGGTTCTGTTTGTTACTCTCCCTCTGGAATCAAGCACTGATTTGATCTGCACACAGAGGCAAAGGCACAAGTCATCACTCATCATGCTTCAGGAATGTCTATTCCTCAAACTCTCAATCTTGCACATGTGTTACTGTGAAAGGCAGAACATTAGCTAATAACTGTGGTAAGGAAGGACAATTAATGAGTTAATGAACCGGTATCTGACTCATTCTTCTATTGTGAAAGGTTACACACAGCGCATGAAAGTATCGTCTGAGCCCCTGAAGTGAAATATATCATGTTGGAAGCTCAAACAAACATATTTTTATTTACCATAAGTGCTAATAGCTTTAATTAAGAGCCCCTTATGTAGAGCATACTAATGCTCACCTCAGAGCCTTTATAGTTCTCAGATAGGAATGTAGTAAGAACTCATTAATTTACTGATTTAAAAGATGACGTAGGGTATTGCAAGGTATTTGGTCTTCAACCATAATCAGGGCGAACTTTGGTTCCTGTTATGGCTTCCTTTCGTGTTCAACGGTGTCTTGGAATTGGCCATGAATAATTTGGCTTCCTTGGGCATAAGGTGTATATTGTCATCTATCTTGAGACCTTTGAAAAGTTACCTGAGTTTGTTTTTCAACAATAAAACTGGGATATTAGTATGATTGACTTCACAGAGTGGTTCTGAGGATGAAACGAGGTATCACATGCAAAGTGGTTAGAACAGTGCCGGGCATGTAAGAACGGATCTGAACCCGTGGACTGCTATTCCCTTAACTACTATTATCTTTTAAATATTTCTGATCTGACTGTGTATATGCTTGCATGTACGTATCAACTCGGTTACTTTCCCCATGGATTGCCTTATAATACTGCTGGAATTGAAGAAATATTTTGCTTACTGCAGGATCATACAGAGGAACCTTCCCTCACTAAGAACACAGGAAAACAGCTTCATTTAGGAAAGAGAGATGTGTCTTGGGCATTAGATAAAAACTTGATGAGGTCAAGAATCTGGTTTTCTCTGCTTTCACAAAAAGGATTATTGCAGGTTTGTAGAAAAATACCAACTTATACGTAAATTTATTATTCAGGGGAAAACAGCATAATATACACTTCTTAATTATCCATCATCCATATTGATCCTTTCACACATAAACACACACTTACTTTCATACCTAGTGAAAGCTACTGATAATTTCTTTTCTTCTTACGAGTAATTACGAGCCAAGCGCTGTGCTAAGTGATTTGCAGTAGAACCTTCATCGCTGACCACCTCCCCACACTGAGCACCTCCTTAAGTTGACCTACTTTTCATAGACTGACATGCACCGTGCGTACGTATCAGTACAGCAGGCCTTGTTCCTCATGTTGACCACCTCCATATGTCAACCAGTTTGTTACAGTCCCTCGGGTGGTCAGCTTGCTGAGGTTCTGCTGTCTATGTCTATTGATATAAAATTAAGTCCATCTTAACAAGGATGTACAAGCCTTAAATCCTATGAGGTACCTGCTCTCGTTGTAAGTTTGCAGTACAGGCAGTCGCCAAGTTGCAAACATCTGACTGAAATGACTCACATTTACGAACAGAGGCTCTTACAGGTCATAGGTAAATGTACCTGTTCCAACTTACATGCAAATTCAACTTGAGAACAAACCTACAAATCTATCTTTTTGGTAACCCAGAGAATGCCTATCGAGGAAACTGAGGCACAAGCTGTTATTACTTTGTCCAAGCTCACAGAGAGTGCTCAGAACCTTGGGAAGGCATCAACCACACGGCATCTCTTCACTTCCCTCGCTCTGACCTCTGATCTGTTACTGGCTTTGTGAGCACCTGGGGCTCTTCTTTGGTGAGTGCAGCCCGCCTGTAAGCCAAGAACCAGACACAAACTGCACAGGTGGTCGGATGGAGGGGGAGTGGGAGTCAGGAACTTGCTTAAAGCAGGGTCTTCCCTGCAGCTGTCTTCTGACAGGCAAGGTGGAAGGAGAGGAGAGGAGGGGAGGGGAGAGGAAGCAGGACAGCTCTTCAGACTCTCTCCAGTTAGGACTCCACGGCATAGTGTCATTCCTTTGTCTGAAGTAATTTCTTTAGGTATTAGAAACACTGACATTTGAAAAGAAATTCAAAAATGCGCTCCAGAACACATACAAATGGTATTTGGAGGATTTGCTGTTTTTGACTTATTTATGCTTCTGCTCTTCTCTGTTACTGAGGATCATTTAGAATTTACTGGGTGTAAAACCCAGAAGTCTCAAACAGATTTTCTCACACACACACACACACGCACACACGCTTCTGTGTGCTCAACATCAATCCTCAGCTACTATTTGTTATTTTTCAGGCACTGTGCTAGGAACTTATTTTAAATACCCACAGTGACAATGGGAGATTACTGTAAAAGAGTGTAGCAATCAAGTTAATTTCACAGTTGAGAAAACAAGCAATTGTCGAAGCCAGGATTCAAATCCTAGCCTCTGGCTTCACACCTGGGCATTCCTACTGTCTTTATTGATATGTGAGAGGCTGAAAGCAAGTTGACTTATAAGGAGCAAGAGTGAGACTTAGCTTAGAAAAGCTTGCTGCTCGAGATTTTAAGATGGGAGTTTCACTGTAAACAGAATTATTTGCTTATGGTGATAACTTTTAGTTTCCAGGCCATTTGAACTTTATCAGGGTAGTGAGAATGAAAACTAAGAGAATAAAAATAAAAATAAAAGAATGAAAAGTTAAAATAAATTCTATGGTGTCACATGGAATGACCGAGCGGCTTACATAAAATATGAGTGAGCACATGACTTAAAAACGTGTGTGCAGTTAAGTGGAAGTAGCTGACGTGGTTTTATTTCAGATGTTTTTTATTGGCATTTGCTTTAATAAAAACAGTACTTGAAACTCTTGGCAGCGGGAAGCAGCGTCACTTGTCCTTTACAAGCACTTGTCTACGTATGTAAGTACACTGAATGTTGATGCACAACAAAGCTTGGACGAGGGGTGTGTTTGGAGAGGATTCTTTCTGAAAACAAATGCAGTTCCATTTGCCTGGTGTAAAGGCTACAGAGCTTATGACCTAAGTGCTTTCTGTGCAATGCTAATGGAATTACAGAGCAAGGAAGAGGCCCTGACCTTGGTTTCTATTATTGGGCTGAATGGTACTCATTAATTCTCTGAGAATTGATGACTAAGGTAACTGCCAGAGTGCAGTCCATTTAGACGGCATGCCTTGCAGACATCACCTGTCAGGCAGCAACATAAATCAAGTCTTTGGCTTAGCCTTCCTGACACGGTGTGCTCAGGATACACAGATATTTGGGAAAAGTTGCAATATGTCATTTGGCTTTGGACACACTGACATTTGGGAAGGAGATAATGTGTCACTAGTTAGAAATTTCCTTTTAATTGAAAAAAGCACATAAATTAAGGAAAAAGAAACCCATCTTTCCTATTTATTCATTTTGGGATAAAATTACCATAGTACATATGTATTTGTGTATAACATGTTTAATATCATCCTACAGATGAACTGACCCTTTTGGTACACTTGCTTAGTAGTAATGCTGAGTTCTATAGGTCAGGCATCTTGGGGGCTCTAGTCCTACCACTACAGGAAAGAAGAATCATCCTTCTTCTTTCTGTTGGATTCTCTACTAGGACTTTTGTTTGGTCTACTCAGACTCCCCCATTCATTGGTCAAAGAGGACTTGACCTCTTTGTTGAGTTCTATCTTGTGTCAGTCTCCATAAAGATAGGATAGTTACCTGCATATCTTTTCTTGATTTGGCAATGAGTTGTTCCCAAAATATTTTGTGATAGGTTCTTCCTGAAATCCTAAGGGAAG